TCCTGCTGGCCATGGCACATTTCATTTGATGGGACCGCATCCTCCTAGTTGGAGGAGAAATAGTCTCATCTCCATTCCCACAGTACCAAGTAGATGCCAAGCAGGGAATATGCTGCACCATATGCTCTTGGGGAAAAAAGGCTAGAAGGGTGGTACTGTGTCCTCAGCTCCGGCCTACTAAAACTGGATGAGCAAAGGGGTGGACAGGAAGGCGGGAGTGAGGCAGCGCAGCAAATGATGTTCCTCAGGGTACTGGTGAACACACACTATAACATCAGGCAACTTTGCCTGGTCCATGTTTCAATGTCACAGTTACTGCAGCAAATTTCTAATCTTGTTTTAAACTCAGTGTACCATTGCAGAACAGTGTTGCAAATGTATGAAGAATGGAATAGCTACAAGGCCATATTGCTAGTTAAAAATTACTTTCCCCAGGTCCTAGTTAATGAGGATCCTTGGTCACTCTAAGGTGCCTTTGTCAAGATGCCTTAAAAAGCACAAACCATATATTTATGAGAGCTATATGTAATTTATTTCCATTAAGTTGCAAACTACAACATTCTCTGCAGAAGCTTAATTAAATAAAGCAGTGTGGCTGAACCTTGGGTATAATGAAATGTGTTTGTTGACCAGTCTAGGCACTCATCTGTCTGGTGTGGTCATGGACACAACTATTTCTGAACCACATAATGCTTTTGTTTGAAACTGTAGTAGAGAACATAACAACATAACCGGAGAAAAAGCTCACGTCTTACATATTTGTTGTGATTGTTTCTGTTCATCCAGGCTAATGGTTTAACACTGTAGTCTAGTCTTGTAGTAGCATGATCCAAACATTCCCATCTGCACTGAAGACTACATGAGAATCTTTGGGATACAATCTTTGCAGTTGGGGACAGAGCCAACATATGGCACTGATGCAATCTGAAGCAGAAATGTGATAATTGCTGGGCAGGAACTTATTAACACCATAGGCTCCATGGCAGAAAAGATACAAGTTTTGCCCATGCTGTCCCATGGGAATTTACATGGCGATACAAGACAGATCACCTGGAGAGATGCACTGGGACGCAAATTTAATCTCAGCTACAAGGTAGAGCAAAGGGTTGATGAGACTACATAAAAAGCTAAGTATTTTGTTGTGGGAATCTAAAGGCTTTGTGCATCTTTGGAACTCATAAATCTTATATCTATTATACCACCATTCTAGCCCCCCCCCCCCCCCTCCCCTGCACTCTGAGTTTAAAAAGAGCAGGTAAAGTAATCTACCTGATGTGTTTCTTCAAAATCAGTGACAAATTTTGTAAATCAGTGAATGAATACAAGTGCCTTACTCAAGCAAGGCTAAAAGTGATATATATGAATATAGGACATCTGAGCAAGAACTGATTTCCTAAAATGTGTTTGTGTTATACACCTGACATACGGTTTTGCTAAAAAAGTAACTTTACCCCAGAAATCTCCAAGTATTTGCTCTGTTACAAATGCCAAGACAATGATAAATTCCTGACAGTGAATAGTCACCAGAGTGTTAGAACTTTGTGCCATCATAGCTGCACTGCAGATGGAGATGGACCTTATCATCATTACAGCCTCTATGTGCTAGGTACACTAGAAGCACGATATGTAGAAAGGGAACAGGTAGAAGTACTAGCAAACTAGTTTATTTAACATACAAAGAAGTACTAACAAACTTAGATGGTTTTGTTTATTTAACATACAATACTCTTGGAAATACAATCTATGCTTCTTTTAAAATGCAATGGGTACATCTGCATGTGTGCTTTACTGCAGTTGACTAATTAACTCCACAGTAAAGCATCACCATCTACACATGTATTAGGGCATAGTAAATTAATTAACTCCACCCATTAAGATAGTACTGTTGAGGACAGCACTATCTTACACTGGATTCATTTACTGCCAAGAAATGCATGTGTGGATGTTGACCAGGACCACAGCAGTTTGAGCCAGGGCAAAGTAGCCCCAGGCTGGCAGCAGGCTCAGGGGGTCAGCCACACAGCTCTGCAGTTTCATCATTCTCATGACCAAGCCAGCCTCTCTGCCACCTGATGCCACCACCTGGAGCCTGTGGCTGGCCCCCAGACCCTGCTGCCAGCCTGGGGCTGCTCTGTCCCTGATCAATCTGCTGTGGTCCCAGGCACACTTGAAGACATTGTGCCTGGGAGCAGCTGAGTCCAGCGTGAGCTGCACCAGAGTTTATTGAGCTTCATGTAATAGCTCATGTAAATGCACCCAGTGTTGTAGTATGACTTCTAGAAATAAGCACTTTTTGTTGATTTAAAGTCTGCTCACTCATGCTAAGACTCTGTGCTTTAAGGCAATTAAAGCTCTTTTAGTCTTTGCCCTTCTCTATACTTTGTTCCAGAGAGTTTTCCTGCCTTATCATAGCAGAAACCAGCCATAGCATGACAAAATCCTTGTACTATCTGTTTGTCCTGGGGACTGAAGGAGAGAGTGCAGCTCTGAAGTGAGATCAGGTAGCTCCACTGGAACCCTATTTAAGAGTTAGGTCACTGTGGCCACTGATGGATGTGGGGGGTGGGAGGTGGAAGAGTGGTGCTTAACTTTCAGCAAAGCATGCCCCGACACAAAGTGCAGCACATGCCTAGAAGGAGAACCATGTCAGTTTGACCAGGCTTACCCAACATCTGTATAGATCATGTGCATCAGTGGCACAAAAACACATCTCAGCATCTAAATAAAGAACATTTACCAAAATATGGGTGACTGCATCGAGGCTGTCAGCTGGTGTAAATCTGTGCTTGTCCATTAACTTGATTTCACTAGGTTGCAAAAACTGGGGAATCTCTCCCTTGAGTTTTAGAAGTTTTCACTTGGGAAATTTAAATTCAAACACTTCTTGCATTCATGTGATTCACAAAATGATTATAGCATGAACTGGAACAAGAACTTGCCTTCTTAGGGCCTACTGGTTACTTGGAGCATCTACGTGAGCAATTAGCTCCAAGCAATAAACTCTGGCACAAATCGCACCAGAGAAATGGCTGGGCTAACCAGGCTAACCAGGGACAATTTGCACCCATCAGTCTCCATCTACACATGGGCTTAATTGCATGTGTTTACTCTGTCATAGGACAGTATTTGTCCCTGACAGTACTATCCTATGGCAGAGTAAATTAGTTTACTGCACCCTAATTACAGTGTGTGTGTAGATGGTGACTCTTTACTGAGAAGTTAAGTAGTCAACTCCACAGTAAACCACATGTATAGATACATCCCCTGTGTATTAATTTCTGTATCATCATTATCATTATTATTATTATTATTAAAGGATTACCATTATTGCTTTCAGTCCCTTATGACTTCTAAAGCATCTTCCTTGAGGAAGAGGGTGCAGCAAAAGTTAAATTTCCTCAAAAGATAACTTAGAATAAAAAAATACATTTTTCAAACAGAACCTAGGGGTGAGAGGTGAGTGGATGAGCTACTCCCAATATAAAACAACTGAAACCTGTCACTGACCATCCCTGTGAGGTCTGACATTGGCAGCAGTAATCTGACCACACTGAGACACAGCTCAAGGCCTTGTTCTTGGGACAGATTTCACTGTACTGTTTTACAAGCTTTTGGAAATAATTTACTGAAAATATTCTTGGTAAACCAGTTATGTGTGCACCTGCAAAGAAGTCTACATACACATGGAGACTGAAATTCCCCAGCTGACAAAGCACTTACACCACTTAAGTCCCCATTTGAGAGCTGAAACAGGACTTTATATAGTGCCTCGGCTTTGTCCTTGCCCAAAGATAGCTTTGCAGACAGCTTACTATTCATCTGCGTTGATGAAATTAAAAGGGGAACTGGAAGATGGGCTCCTGCAGACTTTCTAGAAAACACAACATGGCGCTCACCTCTGCAGCACTGTATGGTCTCACAGCTG